AGAAAATGAACAAAAATAAATGGAAGATTTAAGCCGCAATACATCAATAATTACATTAGATGCAAACATTTCAGCATCACTAACTACTAGATAAATGCAAATTATAACTATGATGAGGTACCACTACACATCTATTAGAATAAAAAATATTGGCAAGACCAAGTGTTGGTGAGAAAATGGAGCAACTGGAATTCTCATGTATTTCAGATGAAAATACAAAATGATACAGCCACTTTGGAAAAGAATTTGACAGTTTCTTATAAAGTTAAACAACATTTATTATACAATCCAGGGATCCTCCTTCTAGGTATTTATCCTAGATAGATGAAGATGTATTACAAGTTCACACAAACACCTATGCACAAATGTTTATAGCAGTTTTATTTATAGCTGTCAAGTACTGGAAGCAACTCAAATATGCACCAAGTAAATGGATAAACAAACTCATACACCCATGCAATGAAATACTACTCTTCAAAAAAAGAAAGGGAGGGAGGGAAGAAAGAAAAAGAGAGAGAAAGAAAGAAAAGAAAAAGAAGGAAGGAAACAGAAATGAACCCACGATTTGGATGAATTTCTTAGTCATCGTGCTGAGTAAAGGAAACTGATCTCAGAAGGCTACATGCTGTCTGATTCCACTAATATGACATTCTCGAAAAGACGAAACCATGTTGATGGAGATGAGATCATTAGTTCCCAGACGTTCAGGGTGGAGATAGCATCAAGGAGTTTTCTGTTCTGTATTCTGATTCTGTGGTGTTGGTTACTCAAATCCATACCCATGTTAAAATTCATAGCGCTGTTCACCAAAAAAGTTTTTTTTTCCCCCCTGTGGGGGACTTTCTTGGTGGTCCAGTGGTTAGGAATCTGCCTTGCAAAGCAGGAGACACGGGTTTGATCCCTGGTCAGGGAACTAAGATCCCACATGTAGCGGAGGAACTAGGATCTTACTGCTGCAGCCAGAGAGTCCACACGCCACAACAAAAGATCCCACGTGACCCAGTAAGAATCCTGTCTGCCACAGCTAAGGCCTGATGCAGCCAAATAAATAGATATTTTTATTTTAAAAGTTATTTTGTTTTACTGTAAGTTAATTTAAATATAAATCTAAATAAATCAAAATAAAGAATAAACTAGCTGACCCTGAACCACGCTGAGTTAGGGATCCAATTCCCCCATATAGCCAAAACCTGAGATATAACTTTTGACTTCCTCCACTCTTGACTACTAATATCCTACTGTTGCCTTCACAGATAACACAAACAGTTGATTAACACACACACACATATTTTTGTTTGGCTGCACCTGAAAGCTTGTGGGATCTTAGTTCCTCAATCAGGAATCAAACTCTTCCCCCTGCAGTGGAAACACAGAGCCCTAACTACTAGATCTCCAGGGAATTTCCTAACACATATTTTCTATATGTATTAGGTACTCTATTCTTAGAATAAAGTAAGTTAGAGGAAAGTAAACTTACTAAGAAAATAGTAAGGAAGAGAGAATACATTTACAGCACATTTGTGTATTTATTTTTTAAAATCTTCATTAAGCGGACTCATTGCAAGTTCAAACCCAGGCTGTTCAAAAGCCAGCCCTACTGATGTATACAGTCAGTTCAGTCACTCAGTCAGGTCCAACTCTTTGTGACCCCATGGACTGCAGCACGCCAGGCTTCCCTGTCCATCATCAACTCCTGGAGCTTACTCAAATTCATGTCTATTGAGTCAGTGATGCCACTCAACCATCTCATCCTCTGTCATCCCCTTCTCCTCCCACCTTCAATCTTTCCCAGCATCAGGGTCTTTTCCAATGAGTCAGTTCTTCACATCAGGTGGCCAAAGTTGATGTATACAACAACATGATAATCGCAAAGTAATTCTGCCGAGTCAAAGAAGCCAGGCTGAGGATGATCCCATTTTTATAAAATTCTAGAAAATGCAAACTAGTCTATAGTGATAGAAAGCAGATTCATGACTGCCTAGGGGAGGGGATGCCCCCCCCCCCAAAAAAAAAGTAGAGGAAAGGATTGCTAAGTGGCACAGTGAAACTTTTAGGGGTGATTGATCTGTTCAGTCTCTTGATTATGGTGATGGTTTCACAGATGCAAACATATTCCAAATTTATTAAATTGCCCAATTTAACTAAGTTCAGTTTCTCCTTTGTTAATGATACCTCAGTAAAGCTGTAGAATAAGACACAGTGGTTGCCCTCAAGGAGCACAGGTTCCAGTGACAAGGAAACTGACAGTTCTGTGACCCAGAGTTACAGGAATAGAAACTGTGGGAGCCCAAAGCTAGAACACCCCCACCCACCCCACCCAGCTCAGACATCCTCCTGCAGCTGGTTACCTCTAACTTTGCATCCACAGCCGGAGTGACAGAAAGCACAGGCCAGCCGATGGTAAAGCTGAACACATGAGAAAACTTTTTCTCTTTTCAGATTGCTCTCCCAGCACGTATCTTTTGTCCTCATTCCATATCCCAGCCATTCACAAGCTGTGTGACTTTGAGCTAGTTACTTGGCCTCTCTAACCCTCACTTTCCTCATCTATAAAAGATGGGTAATTAAAGTGCCCACCTGGCAAAGTGAAAAAGACCAAGGCTATAAAGTAACAATATATCCCCAACTGACTGGAGGATACATCTGGGAAAATTTTGCTTTATGCATCATGAATACACACACACACACACACACACACACATATATTCACACCATCCATGTAACACTTCTGATACAGAAAAAAAAGAGAAAGAACCGCAACTCTGGGTTAGGACAGCACAGTCCTAAGTAAGGTTGGGTACCTTCTCATCCCACTTACTTCCTAGGTCTGGGAGTGCCCCAGTTTGGTTATGGGTGGGGCCATGGGAGCCTCTGGGAGGTCACTGACAGCCGAGCTGGGAGTCCAGACACCTAGCCCAGTGCTCTGATAACAAGGGACCGAGGCCAGGAGAGGAACCAGAAAAATTGCCACTTGGGGGCTGGAGATGGGAAAGTGGGGGAGGTAGTGAAGTGGGAAGCTATTTTATGAGCCACAGCACGCTGTATTGTAGAGGCAGATGAGAAGGCAGGAGGGAACGCATGAGCCAGGGTTCAGTACACACATTCATTCCCTGCATCTGATCACTCTGCTATCCAACACTTGTGGACTGCCAGCACTGAGCTGGGATCTGAGGGAACAGGGCAGGCCCCTCCCCACCGCTGAGCTGGCACTGACACAAGCCTGAGGGGTGAGGATGAGGAGAGAAAAAGGGATGCCTGGACACAATTTTAGTTCTGTCAGTGCATTTGGTGCTAAGCCATTGGCCTTACTCACCCTTGTCCCCTGGATTTGTTCTCGCTGCCAACTGGGCCAATGTTCAGGGTGGAAATCAAGAAGCCGTGAGATACCGAGTGGTCAAGAGAAGGACCTGAGACGGAAGATGAATCATCTCTACTTCCCCATGGCCTTTCAGGTTCAAGGTCCCACCTGACCTCTTCCCTTGACTGAACTCAGATCACCGCTGAGACTCAACTGGGTAGGCCCCCAGAAATATAATGGCCCCTTCGCAGAAGACAGAACTTGGTCCAAGGACTTGTCTCTGTCTCCATCTGGGGAGTGAGCCGATCGGCATAAGGCTAGGGAAGGCTTTGCGGTAAGAGGTGGAAACAGTGGGTTTTAGAATTAACATCTGTCAGCCACCAGAGGGCAGTGTTGGGGCATGTGAATACCCCAGAAAACTCTGGCCCTCAGCCAGGGAACAGTAACGAGAGCTTGGTTTCCTTTAGCCCAGGTTTCCGTGTCAGACAGTTTTCGTTTGTTTCCTGATGTCTAAAGCACCTTAAACTCTTAGGACCACTATACGTTCAGGGGCTTCAATGGCAGCCTTGCAGCCAGTCACCGTATCCGGCTTCAGTAGGAATTATTGGGGAAATACCCGGATCAGCCAGTAGAGGGAGCCAGGAGGCTGAGATCGTGGGTCCCCGGGTGAAAAGAGCAGCTGAGGTCCCCAAACCTCTAGGAAATCGCTCTGTATAACAAACGAACTGGAATTGGGTGAGCAGGGAAGGGGAGTTGGCAAGATGGCACGAGGTTGGAGACAAGGGTCGTGAAAAAGAGGATGGAGAAGAGGAAAATTCCCCACACGACTTCAAAGACCAGGAACACGAGTGCTCAGTGTGAGACCGCTTCTGTCAGAGGTCTGGGTGGCTGGTCCGCTTTGCTGTGTGAACAGGATTCAGTGGAAAGGGCTGCATGCTAGGAGCAGCGCTCAGAGAGTATCTGGATAGACCGCAGATTGCAGGAGCAGGGAGCCAGTGGTGGTCATGGGAACACAAGCCCCTGGAACCTGCGGCTACCTTGGCAAAGACCGTGGGTGGGCAGACCGGGAGCTGGAGCCTGCTCATCCAGGTCTCAGGAGCCAGACCAGACTAGCACTCACTCATCTCTGAGTTACAGGAGAGGGCTCCCGGGCCATGAAGCAGCAGGTGGGGAGATAGGGGGCAGGGACTTAGGTCCACGGAAGAAGCCAAGGGGTGGGAGAAGACAGAGATCAGGTTCCCACATGATGGGATTCCGCTCCCTCCAGCCCATCCCACACCATCCCCTGTATCACACACAGACCCAAATTCAAGCCACCGACACTAGAGCAATAGCCTCCTAACTGATTTCCTTGATTAAACATTAGTACCCTCATCTGTTTCTACACAGAGGCAAGAATTTTTTTTTTTTAAGAACATGTCAGATAATGTCCCTCTTCTGCTTGAAACATTCAGTGAGTTCCCACAGTAGAAGAAATGCTGAGTCCTCTCCATGGCCTGCGCGGGCCCTCCCTTCTCTCCCTAGCCTTGTCTCCAGACCCCCAACTAACATGCTCCGGCATCTCTCTTCCTGCTGTTCCTCAGCCACACCAAGTTCACGCCACTTCAGGACTCCTGTGCTTGCTGCTCCGTCTGTTGGGCTGTGCCTTCCACAGAGGTGGCTCCTTTTCCCCATTAGCGCAGAGGCCTTCCCTGACACCTACGGTGGCCCTTGCTCCCCAGCACCTCGTCCATCTCCCTGAGTCACCTCACGTACCCGGCCTTTACCGCGATCTGAAATGTCCTTTGCTTAACCACTAACTTCCTCCACTGTGATGTAAGCATGTTGAAGGCAAGGCCTTGCCTGTCGTCTTCACTACTGATCCTTTGTGCCTGGCACAGAGAAGTGTTAGTCATTCAGTTGTGTCCAACTCTTTGCAACCCCATGGATTGCAGCCCTCCAGGCTTCTCTGTCCATGGAATTCTCCAGGCAAGAACACTGGAGTGGGTAGCCAGTCCCTTCGGCAAGGAATCTTCCCAACCCAGGAATCGAACCCAGGTCTCCCACATTGCAGGCAGATTCTTTGCCATCTGAGCCACCAAGGAAGCCTGGCACATAGAGGTGCTCAGTAAATAGTTTTTGAACAAATCAGTGTTCAGCCAACTCTATACAGTAAGTTTGATTATCACAGCCAATTTACAGAAAGGGAGACTGAGGCCTAGAAAGGTTAGTTAACTTGCCCAAAGAATGGACAGTAGAATTTGAACTCAGGTAGCCTGACTTTCGGGGTTTCCAAGGTGGCACTAGTGGTAAAGAATCTGCCTGCCAACGCAGGGAGCCTAAGAGACACGGGTTCGATCCCTGGGTCGGGAAGATCACCTGGAGGATGGCATGACAACCCACTCCAATATTCTTGCCTGGAGAATCCCTGGAGGGCCTGAGGGCACGGGGGGTGGCAGACGTGCTCAGCCCCAGCTGGAGGCCACGCCCAGAGCCCTGCCATGCCTCCACTGGGGCACCGGGCTTCTCTGAGGGCAGGTGACGACGTAACCTTGCTGGCTCTTACATCATTACAAAGGTCATCAGCTCCTTGAATCTTCAAACTGGGGGTCATTCCCCAACAAGGGGCCTCTGCTTGACCTTTGTTCCTGACCACAGCTGGGAGTCCAGCCTGTCCAACCCTGTCCAGCATGATACCCAGGGTTCTGGATCTGTATAAACGGCAGCCTGGCTTCCACTCATTACATGATGTCAGCACCTTTTTCAACTTCTGAGAAACAGGAAGCACCATGATGTGTGGTGGGGTTTGAAAGGACGATAAGAGACATAATCACATTTCTCTGGTTTGAGCATGGAGGGCTGGGGTTCCTGTTTCCTCTGACTCGAACGCATCACCTTTTCCCTTAAACCAGAATTCTGGAGGATGAGGACTGTGTGGAAAATACGCTTTGGGAGGCGGGGAAAAAGCAGGAGGGTAAAGAGCTTTAAAGTTACTATTATGAATGTATCATACATATAAAATAGAGTGTACATGGACGGTTTAAAGTTTAACAAAATAAAAACCCATCAAATGTGTTTCTTCTACAGCATCCTTCTCCGTCCCCACCAGAAGTAACCACTAGCTTGATTTTCTGGTTAATTATTTCTTTGTTATTCTTTATAATTTTATCACATATGTAAATATCCTCAAATTACATATGATTATATTTTGCTGGGTTTTGAACTGCTCATAAATGGAATCAGTATTTAAAACTGGCTTTTATTGCTCAACAAAATGTTTTCAAATTCATCCACATTGACCCATATAACTGTACATTTATTTACTGTATTTACTATAATCGGGTGAATGGATAAACCACAATTTATTTACATTTCTCCTTAACTTTTATATTTAAAAAAATTTGGGGGGGGGGTTATTTTTTGCTGATTTTTGGGTGCGCTGGGTCTTCATTGCTGCCCAATCGATGGCTTTCTCTGGTTTCTGCGAGTGGGGGGCCGCGTTCTCTCTAGTTGCAGTGCACAGGCTTCTCGTGTTGAGGTGGCTTCTCTCATTGCAGAGCACAGGCTCTTGGCATACAGGCTTCACTAGTTGTGATACACAGGCCTAGTTGCCCCCACAACTAAGATGTGGAATCTTCCCACATCAGGGGTCAAACCCATGTCCCTGTATTAGCAGGCAGATTTTTTACCGCTGGACCACCAGGGAAGTCCCAAGTGTTCGCTATTAAAAACAACGATGCAAAAAGGATTAGATAAATAATAAGGAAATCTGAATAAGGCATAGACTTTAATTAATAGCAACATATCAGTATTGGTTCATCAGTGTGACAAATGTACATTACTTACATGCGTGTAAGTCGCTTCAGTCATGTCTGACTCTTGGCAACCCTATAGACTGTAGCCTGATAGGCTCCTCTGTCCATAGGATTCTCCAGACAAGAATACTGGAGTGGGTTGCCATGCCCTCCTCCAGGGGATCTTCCCAACCGAGGGATCCAACTCACATCTGTTATGTCTCCTGCATTGGCAGACAGATTCTTTACCACTAGTGCCACCTGGGAAGCACCACATTACTTGTATAAGATGTTAATAATAGGGGAAATTCGGTGTGGAGTATTCTGTACTCTCCTCACAAAATTTACAATTTTTTTGTAAATCTAAAACTATTCTAAAATAAAATTTTATTTAAAAAAAAAGCCAGTGCTGTTAGGAACAAACTTATAGTTTCTGGTGTACACATGCAAGAATTTTTGTAGACTACACAGTAAGTTCAATTTCTGGGTCCAAGAGTGCACCCATCTTCCATTTTACTGGGTACTACATTTCAAAAGTACTAGTTTACACTCTTGCTTACACTTATACTTTAGAATGTGTAAGAATTCCTTTTACTTCACACCTTGGGCAAGACTTGTAATATCTGACTTTTTCATTTTTGCCAGTCTGGTGGGTGTGAAATGTTATCTCATTGTGGTTTAATTTTGCATTTCCCTGACTACTAACAAGGTTGAACATCTCTTGATATGTTTATTGGCCATCTGAGTTTCCTGTTCTGAGAAGTGCTTATTCATGTCATTTACCTTCTTTTTGTAGTGGCTTATTTATCTTTTTCTTATTGATAGTGAGGACTTTGTTACATGGTCTAGAAATGAATCCTTTGCCTCTTATACATGATGCAAATATTTGTCCTACATTGTGGTTTGTCTCTTCACCCTCCTTATGGTACATTTGAGAAATGTTGACTGTATCCATCTTTCCATTAGTAATCTATACTTTAGGGATTTATTTGCAAAATCCTTGTCTTGGTGCTGGAGAGCACCTGTGTGACCCTTTAGACCCCCTCCCACCCCTTCTTTAGCTTCTTCTGTGTCCTGGGAGGCATACCAGTGTGGACTCCATTAATGATTCTGTGTTCGAAGGCTCCCCATTGCGTTTGGCTGGGAGCTCAGTCAAGCTAGGATACGTGTCCTCCCAGCCTCCACCTTGCAAGGTTGTTGATCACTATGCAGCGCGACGGCTGTGTCCCTTGGCTGAGGGTCCTGGCTCCCACCCGTGACCCTCTCCACACAGCCCTCCGGAGCGCAAAGTTTTAGATACTATTTTCTCTCTTGTTGCAGCGCCTGTGGTTAGTCTCAGGGGACTGCGTTTTCCTTCACGGTTTTCCTACAGCCTGTTCTCAGTTTTGGCTTCCCAGGTGGCTCAGTGGTGTAGAATCCACCTGCCAATACAGGAGCCACAGGAGATGTGGGTTCGATGCCAGGGTCAGGAAGATGCCCTGGCAGAGGAAATGGCAACCCACTCCAATATTCTTGCCTGGGAAATCCCCTGGAAAGGGGAGCCTGGTGAGCTCCAGTCCGTGGGGTTGCAAAGAGTCAGACACGACTTTAAAACGACTAAACATCAGTTCTATTTTTAGCTTTTTAAGAAACTTCCATACTGTTCTCCATAGTGGCTCCACCAATTTACATTCTCACCGACAGTGTAGCAGGTGTCCCTTTTCTCCACACCCTCTCCAGCATTTATTGTTTGTAGACGTTTGGAGGGCTTCCCTGGTAGCTCAGGTGGTAAAGCACCTGCCTGCAATGCAGGAGATCCCAGTTTGATTCCTGGGTCAGGAAGACCCGCTCGAGAAGGGATAGGCTACCCACTCCAGTATTCTTGGGCTTCACTTGTGGCTCAGCTGGTAAAGAATCTGCCCACCATGCGGGAGACCTGGGATTGATCCCTGGGTTGTGAAGATCCCCTGGAGAAGGGAAAGGCTACCCTCTCCAGTATTCTGGCCTGGAGAATTCCATGGACTGTATAGTTCATGGGGTTTTTGATGATGGTCATTCTGACTGGTGTGAGGTGACACCTCATTTGGTTTGCATTTCTCTAATAATTAGTGATGTTGAGCATCTTTTCATGTGCTTTCCTGCCATATGTATGTCTTCTTTGGGGAAATGTCTATTTAGATCTGCCCATTTCTTGACTGTGGGTTTTGGTTTTAAAAGACTGGTTTATTTTAAGTTAGTTCTTATTCTGAGAGTATAAATCTTCAGGGGTCCCAGCTGAAAACAGCAGTATTTACCGGAACTGTGCCTATCTTGAGGGCGCTGAACTCCCATTTTCGTTCCCCCTTACCCATGAGACCTCGTAAACCTGCTTTATCCACAGTCCCTCAGCCACAGCTCTTCTGTCAGCGTCTCTGTGGCTCAGCAACTCGTTCTCTAGACCAGTGGTTTGTTGCTGTTCAGTTTCTGAGTCGTGTCCGAGTCTTTGCCCCCTTGTGAATGCGGCACACCAGGCTCCTCTGTCCTTCACTCTCTCCATAGTCTGCTCAAATGCATGTCCATTGAGTCGATGATGGGCTATCTAACCATCTCATTCTCTGCCGCTCCCCTCTCCTTTTGCCTTCAATCTTTCCCAGCATCAGGGTCTTTTCTCATGAGTCAGCTCTTCCCATCAGGTGGCCAAAGTATTGGAGCTTCAGCTTTAGTATCAGTCCTTCCAATAAATATTCAGGGTTGATTTCCCTTAGGATTGATTGACTGGTTGGATCTCCTTGTAGTCCAAGGGACTTTCAAGAGTCTTCTCTGGAACCACAATTTGAAAGCATCAGTTCTTCAGCACTCAGCCTTCTTTATGGTCTAGCTCTCACATCCATACATGACTACTGGAAAAACCATAGTTTTGACTATATGGAATTTTGTGGACAAAGTTATGTCTCTGCTTTTTAACATGCTTTTTTGGGAAACTTTCCCTTCAAGGAGCAAGT